GCATGCGTGGTGGCATGCGTGGTGGCATGCGTGGTGGCATGCGTGGTGGCATGCGTGGTGGCATGCGTGGTGGCATGCGTGGTGGCATGCGGGTGGCATGCGTGGTGGGCATGCGTGGTGGCATGCGTGGTGGCATGCGTGGTGGCATGCGTGGTGGCATGCGTGGTGGCATGCGTGGTGGCATGCGTGGTGGCATGGCGTGGTGGCATGCGTGGTGGCATGCGTGGTGGCATCGTGGTGGCATGCGTGGTGGCATGCGTGGTGGCATGCGTGGGTGGCATGCGTGGTGGCATGCGTGGTGGCATGCGTGGTGGGCATGGCGTGGTGGCATGCGTGGTGGCATGCGTGGTGGCATGCGTGGTGGCATGCGTGGTGGCATGCGTGGTGGCATAGCGTGGTGGCATGCCGTGGTGGCATGCGTGGTGGCATGCGTGGTGGCATGCGTGTGGCATGCGTGGTGGCATGCGTGGTGGCATGGCGTGGTGGCATGCGTGGTGGCATGCGTGTGGCATGCGTGGTGGCATGCGTGGTGGCATGCGGTGGTGGCATGCGTGGTGGCATGCGTGGTGGCATGCGTGGTGGCATGCGTGGTGGCATGCGTAGGTGGCATGCGTGGTGGCATGCGTGGTGGCATGCGTGGTGGCATGCGTGGTGGCATGCGTGGTGGCATGCGTGGTGGCATGCGTGGTGGCATGCGTGGTGGCATGCGTGGTGGCATGCGTGGTGGCATGCGTGGTGGCATGCGTGGTGGCATGCGTGGTGGCATGCGTGGTGGCATGCGTGGTGGCATGCGTGGTGGCATGCGTGGTGGCATGCGTGGTGGCATGCGTGGTGGCATGCGTGGTGGCATGCGTGGTGGCATGCGTGGTGGCATGCGTGGTGGCATGCGTGGTGGCATGCGTGGTGGCATGCGTGGTGGCATGCGTGGTGGCATGCGTGGTGGCATGCGTGGTGGCATGCGTGGTGGCATGCGTGGTGGCATGCGTGGTGGCATGCGTGGTGGCATGCGTGGTGGCATGCGTGGTGGCATGCGTGGTGGCATGCGTGGTGGCATGCGTGGTGGCATGCGTGGTGGCATGCGTGGTGGCATGCGTGGTGGCATGCGTGGTGGCATGCGTGGTGGCATGCGTGGTGGCATGCGTGGTGGCATGCGTGGTGGCATGCGTGGTGGCATGCGTGGTGGCATGCGTGGTGGCATGCGTGGTGGCATGCGTGGTGGCATGCGTGGTGGCATGCGTGGTGGCATGCGTGGTGGCATGCGTGGTGGCATGCGTGTGGCATGCGTGTTGGCATGCGTGGTGGCATGCGTGGTGGCATGCGTGGTGGCATGCGTGGTGGCATGCGTGGTGGCATGCGTGGTGGCATGCGTGGTGGCAATGCGTGGTGGCATGCGTGGTGGCATGCGTGGTGGCATGCGTGGTGGCATGCGTGGTGGCATGCGTGGTGGCATGCGTGGTGGCATGCGTGGTGGCATGCGTGGTGGCATGCGTGGTGGCATGCGTGTGGCATGCGTGGTGGCATGCGTGGTGGCATGCGTGGTGGCATGCGTGTGGCATGCGTGGTGGCATGCGTGGTGGCATGCGTGGTGGCATGCGTGGTGGCATGCGTGGTGGCATGCGTGGTGGCATGCGTGGTGGCATGCGTGGTGGCACATGCGTGGTGGCATGCGTGGTGGCATGCGTGGTGGCATGCGTGGTGGCATGCGTGGTGGCATGCGTGGTGGCATGCGTGGTGGCATGCGTGGTGGCATGCGTGGTGGCATGCGTGGTGCATGCGTGTGGCATTGCGTGGTGGCATGCGTGGTGGCATGCGTGGGTGGCATGCGTGGTGGCATGCGTGGTGGCATGCGTGGTGGCATGCGTGGTGGCATGCGTGGTGGCATGCGTGGTGGCATGCGTGGTGGCATGCGTGGTGGCATGCGTGGTGGCATGCGTGGTGGCATGCGTGGTGGCATGCGTGGTGGCATGCGTGGTGGCATGCGTGGTGGCATGCGTGGTGGCATGCGTGGTGGCATGCGTGGTGGCATGCGTGGTGGCATGCGTGGTGGCATGCGTGGTGGCATGCGTGGTGGCATGCGTGGTGGCATGCGTGGTGGCATGCGTGGTGGCATGCGTGGTGGCATGCTGGTGGCATGCGTGGTGGCATGCGTGGTGGCATGCGTGGTGGCATGCGTGGGTGGCATGCGTGGTGGCATGCGTGGTGGCATGCCGTGGTGGCATGCGTGGTGGCATGCGTGTGGCATGCGTGGTGGCATGCGGGTGGGCAGGCGTGGTGGCATGCGGGTGGCATGCGTGTGGCATGCGTGGTGGCATGCGTGGTGCATGCGTGGTGGCATGCGTGGTGGCATGCGTGGTTGGCATGCGTGGTGGCATGCGTGGTGGCATGCGTGGTGGCAATGCGTGGTGGCATGCGTGTGCCGTGGTGGCATCTGGTGCAGCGTGGTGGCATGCGTGGTGGCATGCGTGGTGGCATGCGTGGTGGCATGCGTGGTGGCATGCGTGGTGGCATGCGTGTGGTCAGGCTGGTGGTGGCAATGCGTGGTGGCATGCGTGGGTGGCATGCGTGGTGGCATGGCGTGGTGGCATGCGTGGTGGCATGCGGGTGGAATGCGTTGGTGGCATGCGTGGTGGCATGCGTGGTGGCATGCGTGGTGGCATGCGTGGTGGCATGCGTGGTGGCATGCGTGTGGCATGCGTGGTGGCATGCGTGTGGCATGCGTGGTGGCATGCGTGGTGGCATGCGTGGTGGCATGCGTGGTGGCATGCGTGGTGGCATGCGTGGTTGGCATGCGTGGTGGCATGCGTGGTGGCATGCGTGGTGGCATGCGTGGTGGCATGCGTGGTGGCATGCGTGGTGGCATGCGTGGTGCATGCGTGGTGCATGCGTGGTGGCATGCGTGGTGGCATGCGTGGTGGCATGCGTGGTGGCATGCGTGGTGGCATGCGTGGTGGCATGCGTGGTGGCATGCGTGGTGGCATGCGTGGTGGCATGCGTGGTGGCATGCGTGGTGGCATGCGTGGTGGCATGCGTGGTGGCATGCGTGGTGGCATGCGGGGTGGCATGCGTGGTGGCATGCGTGGTGGCATGCGTGGTGGCATGCGTGGTGGCATGCGTGGTGGCATGCGTGGTGGCATGCGTGGTGGCATGCGTGGTGGCATGCGTGGTGGCATGCGTGGTGGCATGCGTGGTGGCATGCGTGGTGGCATGCGTGGTGGCATGCGTGGTGGCATGCGTGGTGGCATCGTGGTGGCATGCGTGGTGGCATGCGTGGTGGCATGCGTGGTGGCATGCGTGGTGGCATGCGTGGTGGCATGCGTGGTGGCATGCGTGGTTGCATGCGTGGTGGCATGCGTGGTGGCATGCGTGGTGGCATGCGTGGTGGCATGCGTGGTGGCATGCGTGGTGGCATGCGTGGTGGCATGCGTGGTGGCATGCGTGGTGGCATGCGTGGTGGCATGCGTGGTGGCATGCGTGGTGGCATGCGTGGTGGCATGCGTGGTGGCATGCGTGGTGGCATGCGTGGTGGCATGCGTGGTGGCATGCGTGGTGGCATGCGTGGTGGCATGCGTGGTGGCATGCGTGGTGGCATGCGTGGTGGCATGCGTGGTGGCATGCGTGGTGGCATGCGTGGTGGCATGCGTGGTGGCATGCGTGGGTGGCATGCGTGGTGGCATGCGTGGGTGGCATGCGTGGTGGCATGCGTGGTGGCATGCGTGGTGGCATGCGTGGTGGCATGCGTGGTGGCATGCGTGGTGGCATGCGTGGTGGCATGCGTGGTGGCATGCGTGGTGGCATGCGTGGTGGCAATGCGTGGTGGCCATGCGTGGTGGGCATGCGTGGTGGCATGCGTGGTGGCATGCGTGGTGGCATGCGTGGTGGGCATGCGTGGTGGCATGCGTGGTGGCATGCGTGGTGGCATGCGTGGTGGGCATGCGTGGTGGCATGCGTGGTGGCATGCGTGGTGGCATGCGTGGTGGCATGCGTGGTGGCATGCGTGGTGGCATGCGTGGTGGCATGCGTGGTGGCATGCGTGGTGGCATGCGTGGTGGCATGCGTGGTGGCATGCGTGGTGGCATGCGTGGTGGCATGCGTGGTGGCATGCGTGGTGGCATGCGTGGTGGCATGCGTGGTGGCATGCGTGGTGGCATGCGTGGTGGCATGCGTGGTGGCATGCGTGGTGGCATGCGTGGTGGCATGCGTGGTGGCATGCGTGGTGGCATGCGTGGTGGCATGCGTGGTGGCATGCGTGGTGGCATGCGTGGTGGCATGCGTGGTGGCATGCGTGGTGGCATGCGTGGTGGCATGCGTGGTGGCATGCGTGGTGGCATGCGTGGTGGCATGCGTGGTGGCATGCGTGGTGGCATGCGTGGTGGCATGCGTGGTGGCATGCGTGGTGGCATGCGTGGTGGCATGCGTGGTGGCATGCGTGGTGGCATGCGTGGTGGCATGCGTGGTGGCATGCGTGGTGGCATGCGTGGTGGCATGCGTGGTGGCATGCGTGGTGGCATGCGTGGTGGCATGCGTGGTGGCATGCGTGGTGGCATGCGTGGTGGCATGCGGGGTGGCATGCGTGGTGGCATGCGTGGTGGCATGCGTGGTGGCATGCGTGGTGGCATGCGTGGTGGCATGCGTGGTGGCATGCGTGGTGGCATGCGTGGTGGCATGCGTGGTGGCATGCGTGGTGGCATGCGTGGTGGCATGCGTGGTGGCATGCCGTGGTGGCATGCGTGGTGGCATGCGTGGTGGGCATGCGTGTGGCATGCGTGTGGCATGCGTGGTGGCATGCGTGGTGGCATGCGTGGTGGCATGCGTGGTGGCATGCGTGGTGGCAATGCGTGGTGGCATGCGTGGTGGCATGCGTGGTGGCATGCGTGGTGGCATGCGTGGTGGCATGCGTGGTGGCATGCGTGGTGGCATGCGTGGTGGCATGCGTGGTGTGCATGCGTGGTGGCATGACGTGGTGGCATGCGTGGTGGCATGCGTGGTGGCATGCGTGTGGCATGGCATGCGGGGTGGCATGCGTGGTGGCATGCGTGGTGGCATGCGTGGTGGCATGCGTGGTGGCATGCGTGGTGGCATGCGTGGTGGCATGCGTGGTGGCATGCGTGGTGGCATGCGTGGTGGCATGCGTGGTGGCATGCGTGGTGGCATGCGTGGTGGCATGCGTGGTGGCATGCGTGGTGGCATGCGTGGTGGCATGCGTGGTGGCATGCGTGGTGGCATGCGTGGGGGCATGCGTGGTGGCATGCGTGGTGGCATGCGTGGTGGCATGCCGTGGTGGCATGCGTGGTGGCATGCGTGGTGGCATGCGTGGTGGCATGCGTGGTGGCATGCGTGGTGGCATGCGTGGTGGCATGCGTGGTGGCATGCGTGGTGGCAATGCGTGGTGGCATGCGTGGTGGCATGCGTGGTGGCATGCGTGGTGGCATGCGTGGTGGCATGCGTGGTGGCATGCGTGGGTGGCATGCGTGGTGGCATGCGTGGTGGCATGCGTGGTGGCATGCGTGGTGGCATGCGTGGTTGGCATGCGTGGTGGCATGCGTGGTGGCATGCGTGGTGGCATGCGTGGTGGCATGCGTGGTGGCATGCGTGGTGGCATGCGTGGTGGCATGCGTGGTGGCATGCGTGGTGGCATGCGTGGTGGCATGCGTGGTGGCATGCGTGGTGGCATGCGTGGTGGCATGCGTGGTGGCATGCGTGGTGGCATGCGTGGTGGCATGCGTGGTGGCATGCGTGGTGGCATGCGTGGTGGCATGCGTGGTGGCATGCGTGGTGGCATGCGTGGTGGCATGCGTGGTGGCATGCGTGGTGGCATGCGTGGTGGCATGCGTGGTGGCATGCGTGGTGGCATGCGTGGTGGCATGCGTGGTGGCATGCGTGGTGGCATGCGTGGTGGCATGCGTGGTGGCATGCGTGGTGGCATGCGTGGTGGCATGCGTGGTGGCATGCGTGGTGGCATGCGTGGTGGCATGCGTGGTGGCATGCGTGGTGGCATGCGTGGTGGCATGCGTGGTGGCATGCGTGGTGGCATGCGTGGTGGCATGCGTGGTGGCATGCGTGGTGGCATGCGTGGTGGCATGCGTGGTGGCATGCGTGGTGGCATGCGTGGTGGCATGCGTGGTGGCATGCGTGGTGGCATGCGTGGTGGCATGCGTGGTGGCATGCGTGGTGGCATGCGTGGTGGCATGCGTGGTGGCATGCGTGGTGGCATGCGTGGTGGCATGCGTGGTGGCATGCGTGGTGGCATGCGTGGTGGCATGCGTGGTGGCATGCGTGGTGGCATGCGTGGTGGCATGCGTGGTGGCATGCGTGGTGGCATGCGTGGTGGCATGCGTGGTGGCATGCGTGGTGGCATGCGTGGTGGCATGCGTGGTGGCATGCGTGGTGGCATGCGTGGTGGCATGCGTGGTGGCATGCGTGGTGGCATGCGTGGTGGCATGCGTGGTGGCATGCGTGGTGGCATGCGTGGTGGCATGCGTGGTGGCATGCGTGGTGGCATGCGTGGTGGCATGCGTGGTGGCATGCGTGGTGGCATGCGTGGTGGCATGCGTGGTGGCATGCGTGGTGGCATGCGTGGTGGGCATGCGTGGTGGCATGCGTGGTGGCATGCGTGGTGGCATGCGTGGTGGCATGTCCGTGGTGGCATGCGTGGTGGCATGCGTGGTGGCATGCGTGGTGGCATGCGTGGTGGCATGCGTGGTGGCATGCGTGGTGGCATGCGTGGTGGCATGCGTGGTGGCATGCGTGGTGGCAATGCGTGGTGGCATGCGTGGTGGCACGTGGTGGCATGCGTGGTGGCATGCGTGGTGGCATGCGTGGTGGCATGCGTGGTGGCATGCGTGGTGGCATGCGTGGTGGCATGCGTGGTGGCATGCGTGGTGGCATGCGTGGTGGCATGCGTGGTGGCATGCGTGGTGGCATGCGTGGTGGCATGCTGGTGGCATGCGTGGTGGCATGCGTGGTGGCATGCGTGGTGGCATGCGTGTGGCATGCGTGGTGGCATGCGTGGTGGCATGCGTGGTGGCATGCGTGGTGGCATGCGTGGTGGCATGCGTGGTGGCATGCGTGGTGGCATGCGTGGTGGCATGCGTGGTGGCATGCGTGGTGGCATGCGTGGTGGCATGCGTGGTGGCATGCGTGGTGGCATGCGTGGTGGCATGCGTGGTGGCATGCGTGGTGGCATGCGTGGTGGCATGCGTGGTGGCATGCGTGGTGGCATGCGTGGTGGCATGCGTGGTGGCATGCGTGGTGGCATGCGTGGTGGCATGCGTGGTGGCATGCGTGGTGGCATGCGTGGTGGCATGCGTGGTGGCATGCGTGGTGGCATGCGTGGTGGCATGCGTGGTGGCATGCGTGGTGGCATGCGTGGTGGCATGCGTGGTGGCATGCGTGGTGGCATGCGTGGTGGCATGCGTGGTGGCATGCGTGGTGGCATGCGTGGTGGCATGCGTGGTGGCATGCGTGGTGGCATGCGTGGTGGCATGCGTGGTGGCATGCGTGGTGGCATGCGTGGTGGCATGCGTGGTGGCATGCGTGGTGGCATGCGTGGTGGCATGCGTGGTGGCATGCGTGGTGGCATGCGTGGTGGCATGCGTGGTGGCATGCGTGGTGGCATGCGTGGTGGCATGCGTGGTGGCATGCGTGGTGGCATGCGTGGTGGCATGCGTGGTGGCATGCGTGGTGGCATGCGTGGTGGCATGCGTGGTGGCATGCGTGGTGGCATGCGTGGTGGCATGCGTGGTGGCATGCGTGGTGGCATGCGTGGTGGGCATGCGTGGTGGCATGCGTGGTGGCATTGCCGTGGTGGCATGGCGTGGTGGCATGCGTGGGTGGCATGCGTGGTGGCATGCGTGGTGGCATGCGTGGTGGCATGCGTGGTGGCATGCGTGGTGGCATGCGTGGTGGCATGCGTGGTGGCATGCGTGGTGGCATGCGTGGTGGCATGCGTGGTGGCATGCGTGGTGGCATGCGTGGTGGCATGCGTGGTGGCATGCGTGGTGGCATGCGTGGTGGCATGCGTGGTGGCATGCGTGGTGGCATGCGTGGTGGCATGCGTGGTGGCATGCGTGGTGGCATGCGTGGTGGCATGCGTGGTGGCATGCGTGGTGGCATGCGTGGTGGCATGCGTGGTGGCATGCGTGGTGGCATGCGTGGTGGCATGCGTGGTGGCATGCGTGGTGGCATGCGTGGTGGCATGCGTGGTGGCATGCGTGGTGGCATGCGTGGTGGCATGCGTGGTGGCATGCGTGGTGGCATGCGTGGTGGCATGCGTGGTGGCATGCGTGGTGGCATGCGTGGTGGCATGCGTGGTGGCATGCGTGGTGGCATGCGTGGTGGCATGCGTGGTGGCATGCGTGGTGGCATGCGTGGTGGCATGCGTGGTGGCATGCGTGGTGGCATGCGTGGTGGCATGCGTGGTGGCATGCGTGGTGGCATGCGTGGTGGCATGCGTGGTGGCATGCGTGGTGGCATGCGTGGTGGCATGCGTGGTGGCATGCGTGGTGGCATGCGTGGTGGCATGCGTGGTGGCATGCGTGGTGGCATGCGTGGTGGCATGCGTGGTGGCATGCGTGGTGGCATGCGTGGTGGCATGCGTGGTGGCATGCGTGGTGGCATGCGTGGTGGCATGCGTGGTGGCATGCGTGGTGGCATGCGTGGTGGCATGCGTGGTGGCATGCGTGGTGGCATGCGTGGTGGCATGCGTGGTGGCATGCGTGGTGGCATGCGTGGTGGCATGCGTGGTGGCATGCGTGGTGGCATGCGTGGTGGCATGCGTGGTGGCATGCGTGGTGGCATGCGTGGTGGCATGCGTGGTGGCATGCGTGGTGGCATGCGTGGTGGCATGCGTGGTGGCATGCGTGGTGGCATGCGTGGTGGCATGCGTGGTGGCATGCGTGGTGGCATGCGTGGTGGCATGCGTGGTGGCATGCGTGGTGGCATGCGTGGTGGCATGCGTGGTGGCATGCGTGGTGGCATGCGTGGTGGCATGCGTGGTGGCATGCGTGGTGGCATGCGTGGTGGCATGCGTGGTGGCATGCGTGGTGGCATGCGTGGTGGCATGCGTGGTGGCATGCGTGGTGGCATGCGTGGTGGCATGCGTGGTGGCATGCGTGGTGGCATGCGTGGTGGCATGCGTGGTGGCATGCGTGGTGGCATGCGTGGTGGCATGCGTGGTGGCATGCGTGGTGGCATGCGTGGTGGCATGCGTGGTGGCATGCGTGGTGGCATGCGTGGTGGCATGCGTGGTGGCATGCGTGGTGGCATGCGTGGTGGCATGCGTGGTGGCATGCGTGGTGGCATGCGTGGTGGCATGCGTGGTGGCATGCGTGGTGGCATGCGTGGTGGCATGCGTGGTGGCATGCGTGGTGGCATGCGTGGTGGCATGCGTGGTGGCATGCGTGGTGGCATGCGTGGTGGCATGCGTGGTGGCATGCGTGGTGGCATGCGTGGTGGCATGCGTGGTGGCATGCGTGGTGGCATGCGTGGTGGCATGCGTGGTGGCATGCGTGGTGGCATGCGTGGTGGCATGCGTGGTGGCATGCGTGGTGGCATGCGTGGTGGCATGCGTGGTGGCATGCGTGGTGGCATGCGTGGTGGCATGCGTGGTGGCATGCGTGGTGGCATGCGTGGTGGCATGCGTGGTGGCATGCGTGGTGGCATGCGTGGTGGCATGCGTGGTGGCATGCGTGGTGGCATGCGTGGTGGCATGCGTGGTGGCATGCGTGGTGGCATGCGTGGTGGCATGCGTGGTGGCATGCGTGGTGGCATGCGTGGTGGCATGCGTGGTGGCATGCGTGGTGGCATGCGTGGTGGCATGCGTGGTGGCATGCGTGGTGGCATGCGTGGTGGCATGCGTGGTGGCATGCGTGGTGGCATGCGTGGTGGCATGCGTGGTGGCATGCGTGGTGGCATGCGTGGTGGCATGCGTGGTGGCATGCGTGGTGGCATGCGTGGTGGCATGCGTGGTGGCATGCGTGGTGGCATGCGTGGTGGCATGCGTGGTGGCATGCGTGGTGGCATGCGTGGTGGCATGCGTGGTGGCATGCGTGGTGGCATGCGTGGTGGCATGCGTGGTGGCATGCGTGGTGGCATGCGTGGTGGCATGCGTGGTGGCATGCGTGGTGGCATGCGTGGTGGCATGCGTGGTGGCATGCGTGGTGGCATGCGTGGTGGCATGCGTGGTGGCATGCGTGGTGGCATGCGTGGTGGCATGCGTGGTGGCATGCGTGGTGGCATGCGTGGTGGCATGCGTGGTGGCATGCGTGGTGGCATGCGTGGTGGCATGCGTGGTGGCATGCGTGGTGGCATGCGTGGTGGCATGCGTGGTGGCATGCGTGGTGGCATGCGTGGTGGCATGCGTGGTGGCATGCGTGGTGGCATGCGTGGTGGCATGCGTGGTGGCATGCGTGGTGGCATGCGTGGTGGCATGCGTGGTGGCATGCGTGGTGGCATGCGTGGTGGCATGCGTGGTGGCATGCGTGGTGGCATGCGTGGTGGCATGCGTGGTGGCATGCGTGGTGGCATGCGTGGTGGCATGCGTGGTGGCATGCGTGGTGGCATGCGTGGTGGCATGCGTGGTGGCATGCGTGGTGGCATGCGTGGTGGCATGCGTGTGGCATGCGTGGTGGCATGCGTGGTGGCATGCGTGGTGGCATGCGTGGTGGCATGCGTGGTGGCATGCGTGGTGGCATGCGTGGTGGCATGCGTGGTGGCATGCGTGGTGGCATGCGTGGTGGCATGCGTGGTGGCATGCGTGGTGGCATGCGTGGTGGCATGCGTGGTGGCATGCGTGGTGCATGCGTGGTGCATGCGTGGTGGCATGCGTGGTGGCATGCGTGGTGGTGGCATGCGTTGGTGGCATGCGTGGTGGCATGCGTGGTGGCATGCGTGGTGGCATGCGTGGTGGCATGCGTGGTGGCATGCGTGGTGGCATGCGTGGTGGCATGCGTGGTGGCATGCGTGGTGGCATGCGTGGTGGCATGCGTGGTGGCATGCGTGGTGGCATGCGTGGTGGCATGCGTGGTGGCATGCGTGGTGGCATGCGTGGTGGCATGCGTGGTGGCATGCGTGGTGGCATGCGTGGTGGCATGCGTGGTGGCATGCGTGGTGGCATGCGTGGTGGCATGTGAGGTGAAGGGCAAAGTAAGAACTTCACATACCCTTCACTTGGTGCCAAGTGGACTCACTGAGGAAAAGGCAGGCATGTGGAACACAGAGGGTCCCGCACTGGGAGCAGAGGCAAGAGGAGTGGCAGTAGCAGCAGGCGAGGCAGAGGGTGCAGCGGAGGAGGAGGGGGGGCGGGAGGTATCCCAGAGGACGATGGTGGACGGCGCAGATCCCGTGGTATCAGAGCCGCACACGAGCCAGCGCTCGTCCGCAAAGCACAGCGCATCCATTGCCATGCGCACTCGCACACGGGCACTCTGCGCTGCTGCCCTGCTGGGGGTGAATGGATGATGAGACATGCAATGTAAGGCGAGCGAAGCGCAGCGCATCCATCGCCATGCGCACTCGCACCGGGGGAGGTTGCCGTGCTGCCCTGCTGGGGTTGGGGAAGCACATGTATGATGTGATGTCCGGTGCAGTGTCCACACAAAGCAAAGCACGGCGCATCTGTGGCCATGCGCACTCGCACCAGGGTATTCTTCCCTGCTGCACTCCCTGCCCTGCTGGGGGTTGGTTGGTTGAGGGGTGAATGGATGATGGGACATGCAATGCATGGCAGCTCAAATCACGGCGCATCCACAGCCATGCGCACTCGCACCGGGGCACTTGCATTCTTCCCTGCTGCACCCACTGCCCTGATGGGATTTGAATGAGGTGTTTGAACAATGTGTGATGCAGAGTCCACATAGCACACCACATCCATTGCCATGCACACTCGCACCGGAGCACTCTGGCCAGCTGTTCCCACTGCCCAGCTGGGGTTGGTTGGTTGGGGGATGAATGGATGATGGGACATGCAACGTAGGGCAAAGCAAAGCAAGCAGAGCGCATCCATTGCCATGCGCACTTGCACTGAGGCACTCTGCCCGCCACCAACCAATGTGGCCCGCGCAAGGGTATAACCCCTGGCCCCGCATCCTCCACTGTCCCCGCTGCCCCCCCCGCCCCTGCAGCCCCTCCAGCTCCTGACGTGCCAGCTCCATGGTTGAGTCATAAAGACGATTGGCAGTGAGGTGTGGGCTAAGACTAAGCAGAGCATGTGATTCCATGGAATGATTAAATGATCATCTGATCTGGCATGTATCTATCAGATGATCAGACGAAAGAAACTGGTCGTTGGTGCTTGAAACAGCTGGTATGGCACCACCGGTAAGAGCTCATGCCAATCAAGGTATGGCTGGCTTGCAAGCTTCAATCACTATTGAGAATTCTCAAACATGGGCGTGCGCAACACAATACATGGGCGGAACAGTACTGGGCGGCACAGCACCTGGGCGGCAGAGTGAAGGAGGGGGAGAGGTGGGCGAGCGGCTTGGCTACACGCACGTCCCACAGGATGACCCAGGGTCCCCACTGGCACCACTGGTGGCTGCTAGGTCTGATGTGTGGTGCAGGGTGGGAAGCAAAGTAGTGACAGGGTGGGGGTGGTGGCGAGGGGCTTGGCTGAGCGCACATCACACCCCATCAAACAGCTTTCCCTACCCCTCTTTGCTCCCTTAATCATCACACCCCATCTGCCATCCGCTCCTCATTTTGTCATCCCTTTTTTATGTCAGCTTTCTCGTTGCCCCCTTGGTGACTGCTCTGACTCACGGGAAAGCCGATGGTTAACGGCAAGAGAGCACAGATCTTGTCGCGATGACACGCAATCGGCAGGTTTGCACTGGCAGTGCTGTGGCCGCTGCCTCTGCCACTGCCGCTGCAAATGCCTCTGTTGATATGACAAGATGCATGCGTGACCCACATGACAAGATGCACACATGACTCACATGACAAGATGCACACATGACTCACATGACAAGACGCACACATGACTCACATGACAAGATGCACACATGACTCACATGACAAGATGCACACATGACTCACATGACAAGATGCACACATGACTCACATGACAAGATGCACACATGACTCACATGACAAGATGCTCATATGACTCACATGACAAGATGCACACATGACTCACATGACAAGATGCACACATGACTCACATGACAAGATGCACACATGACTCACATGACATCTTCTGGTTAACGGCAAGAGCACGGATCTTGTCGCGATGACACGCAATTGACGGGTTCCCACTGGCAGTGGCGGTGGCGGTGGCAGCAACTCCCGGCCCACACGAGTGCAGCAGCGATGCTGACGTGGAGTCCCACACCTGAAGGGAATGGTTGCCACGGCAGGTGGATCGGAAATGCGGTTGATTGACGGTAGGCTTGTAGCCTGCATGGATGGGCTTGAATGCAGAGAAAGAGTTAAATGCCTTTTGACACGTCTCAAAAGTCAAGCCCGGGCTTGAATGCAGGGCAAGCGTGGGATGCCTGAAACCTCGCCACGAGTACACTCGTGGGTATGGACGGACCGAAACTAAACTGTTTCAAGTATGCTGTCATGTCAAGCCAGCCACCATGGCAAGGGCATGGCAAGGGCATGGCAAGGGCATGGCAAGGGCATGGCAAGGGCATGGCAAGGGCATGGCAAGGGCATGGCAAGGGCATGGCAAGGGCATGGCAAGGGCATGGCAAGGGCATGGCAAGGGCATGGCAAGGGCATGGCAGGGCATGGCAAGGGCATGGCAAGGGCATGGCAGGGCATGGCAAGGGCATGGCAGGGCATGGCAAGGGCATGGCAAGGGCATGGCAGGGCATGGCAAGGGCATGGCAAGGGCATGGCAAGGGCATGGCAAGGGCATGGCAAGGGCATGGCAAGGGCATGGCAAGGGCATGGCAAGGGCATGGCAAGGGCATGGCAAGGGCATGGCAGGGCATGGCAAGGGCATGGCATGGCAGTGCATGGCATTAAAAGGCAAGTCCTCTCTCACCTTGAGTGTACAGCCCCCACAGGAGAGGATGACGTCACCATCCATGGCGTACTCCACCGCCTGGATCTGCCTTGGTGTAATGCGGTGGGGTGGGGTGGGTAGGGGTGCGGAGGGGTGGGGATGTGATGTGATGGGGATGGGGCACACGGGAAGGGAAATGGGGGAGGGAAGGATGGGGGATGGAATGTTGTCACCATGCATGGCATACCCCACCGCCTGGATTTGATGACATGGTGTGACGTGATGTGATGCGGTGGTATGCATTGGGACGGCGCCCCAAGGAATATGAGGTGGGGCGGATAGGGGATACCAGTGAGGGTTCGTGGGGGGAGAAGGTGATGAAACACCGGCACACAAAACAGGCGTGCGCTTGGTGGGGTTAGGTACACACCTGACAGGCGTGGCCTTGCAGGGGGCGGTGGGAGCCGGAGGAGAGGTCGAAGAGGAGCAACTCGTTCGGGGCCTGGTGGGATGGTGGGGCAGGGGGCAGAAGGGTTATTAGAGAAGGTCATGGTGATCGTATGTGTGAGGGTATTCGCTTACGGTCGCAAGCGCAAAAGAATTATGTCTCGAAGGGCAATTGTTATCGCTGGCAAAGAGAAGAAAGGTGAGGAAGAGGAGAGAAGGAAGGAGAATGAGAGGATATTGCACCTGTTCCTTACACAAAGGAGAATGCGATGAAAGGGAGGGAACGCGAGGAAAGGCGCACCTCATTGCAGCCAATGACAAGACAAGCTGAGGCTGGCCTGGTATGGAGCGAGTTCACTTTCCAGTCGACTCAAAAGTCGACAAAGTGTGATGATTATTGCAAGCAACCGTCATGAGAGGCGCACTCGCACCTCATTGCAGCAATGAGGCCTGCCCCAGTGACCAGATGAGGCCTGCCCCTGGGGTGGAACCGAGTTGAATTTCGAGTCGACTCTCCGAAGTCAACAAGTCGTCATGTTTGTTGCAAGCAACTGTCATGTCCGGCGCACCTTTGAGGCGCCTCAAAAGTCACCGCTCACCTCGTTGCAGCCAATGACAAGCTGAGGCTGGCCCCTCGGATGGAAGCGCGCATCCAATACCTTCTGCACTGCCAGCTGGCGACCAACAGCATGCATGGATGATGACGTGTAAGAGATGACATGATGACGTGTTACACAACATACAATTCCACAATCACACCATACCACATCACACCACAGACCACAGTGCAGGCTGTGAGGGAGAGTGGACTGTAGATAGGACGACACATGCTGGTGTGGATCTTTGGAACTTTCCAAGGTAACATGATGCAGGATGGGGAGTGGATGCGATGTGATGTGATGTGATGTGATGTGATGTGATGTGATGTGATGTGATGTGATGTGATGTGACGTGACATGATGTGATGTGATGTGATGTGATGTGACGTGACGTGACCTGATGTGATGTGATGTGATGTGATGTGATGTGATGTGATGTGATGTGATGTGATGTGATGTGTTGTGATGTGATGTGACGTGACATGGCGTGATGTGATGTGATGTGATGTGATGCGATGCGATGCGATGGGATGTGATGTGACGTGACGTGACGTGACGTGACCTGATGTGATGTGATGTGATGTGATGTGATGTGATGTGATGTGATGTGATGTGATGTGATGTGATGTGATGTGATGTGATGTGATGTGACGTGACGTGACGTGACGTGACGTGACCTGATGTGATTTGATGTGATGTGATGTGATGTGATGTGATGTGATGTGATGTGATGTGATGTGATGTGATGTGATGTGACGTGACGTGACGTGACCTGATCTGATGTGATGTGATGTGACATGACGTGACGTGATGTGACATGACGTGACGTGACGACGTGACCTGATGTGATGTGATGTGATGTGATGTGATGTGATGTGATGTGATGTGATGTGATGTGATGTGATGTGATGTGATGTGATGTGATTTGATGTGATGTGATGTGATGTGATGTGATGTGATGTGATGTGATGTGATGTGATGTGATGTGATGTGATGTGATGTGATGTGATGTGATGTGATGTGACGTGACGTGACGTGACCTGATGTGATGTGATGTGATGTGATGTGATGTGATGTGATGTGATGTGATGTGATGTGATGTGATGTGATGTGATGTGATGTGATGTGATGTGATGTGATGTGACGTGATGTGTGATGTGATGCGATGTGGATGTGATGTGGGTCCACATGGCATGGCAACGAGACTAAATGTGCTGATGTGGAAATGGTATGTGTGTGATAGGGGACTGGAATAATCGCAGTGGTTTCAATTTTCAAATGCTCCTCTCACACGCAATCCCACTATCCCACCATCACACCATCCCACCACCTCAACATCCCACCACCCCACCATCTCCCCATCATGTCACATCGCTGATGTTGGTGGTGGGTGCATGCATCAGCAGCATGGGACCATGCCACCATCCCACCATCCCACCACAGCCTATCATCCCACTGTCCCACCATCACCCCATCATCTCACATCGCTGATGTTAGTGGTGGGCGCGTCAGCAGCATGGGAGGTGTAGCTGGCCCAGGTAGGCCGCCACGTGTCACCACGTGATTGGCGGAGGACCGAACCCAGGCCTCTACGTGGGTTGTCCAGTGATCCCCATCCTGCCATAATCAGTCCAGTACCGCACAGCACAGCAACGCACCCCACAGCACCACAATCCTCGTAAATTAGGTACTGAC